GCAAGTTTATTAAGGAAAGGAAAAAAAAAAGAAAGAGATCCCTGCATAAAGACAGGGGGGCAGAGGGCTGCCTCCATAGTCAGTTTTTAAAAATCATGACAGCTATGATTAATTACCCAAAGGTTGTGGGACTTTTTCAAACAGGGGGACAAGGTGTCTAGTAGAGTCTAGAATCTTAGAATTCTTAAAGAAAGAGCTGGATGAGATTATGCTCAGTGAAATCAGCCAGAAGGAAAAAGAAAAATATCAGATGGTTTCACTTATAGGAAGGATATAGGGAAACCAAGTAAGGGATTAAGAACAGTGATGTAAAATAAATAAATAAATAAATAAATAAATAAATAAATAAATAAATTTAAAAAAAAAGAAAGAAAGAGTAACTACCTTAGCCGGCTGAATACACAGGGATCTATTTCTCCATCGATAGTGGATTCATTCATATCCCAATGCCTTCAGATGGGCGGATCCTAACCCCAGGAACAGCAGCTATGTCTTCAAATTACTAATTTACTTTTACAAGAATCTGTTGTTCAAAATGCAGTAAGGTAGTAAATGTGGGTAAGACTAAAACCAATTTTTGAAAATACAAACCATTTTTATACTCTAACAGTTTTAGAAATTACTTTCATTTCATGGCTTTTATGTTGTTTTATTTCATTTGGTTAATTTGTTACAGGATTATGATTTTATAAATATGTCATGGCTAATGTTCTGCCATTCAACTGACATCCACTATGCATATAAAATGCAAGCTCCTTAGCCTGGCATACCAACCCTGTGTGGCATGCTATTAAACAAACTATTTTCCAGAATCAGGCCAAATCCTCTTCATCTTCAATATATGTACCAAATGTATTAAATTTCTCTTACAGTTCTTTGTGAATTTGCATATGTCATTCTTCTGGTTGTGAATTTGCTGCAAGTAGAAAATTCCTGTTCATTTAATAAGATCCCATTTCAGTGTTTCTCCATCAGCAAGTGTCAGAGAAGAGTGCATTATGTGTACCTGAACACAATTCTATTTTTAAGAATCATTATCCCATTGCTTTATAACCATTTTCTTATAATTTGACTCAAGTATTAGGCTGTCAGTTCCAAAGTGGCAGAATGCACTTTTGTCTACCGACCTATTTAGTTCAACAAATAGCCACTGGCTCCATACAACCCCCCACATGTGGTTCTTTATGGAGTTGTAACAAATAACACATCAGATAATATAACCCCAAATAATTTATATTTAATAAAACAACTTGAAAGTAAACTGTTCAAGATCATGCTGTGAACTTGGTTTTGTCTGCATTTATGATGGACATTATTCTGTCATTGAGAAGTGGGAAGAACAAAATCCTTTATACCTTTAATTACCTCTATGTAGTCTGCCATGAGAAATGATTTTCGTAGTCTAAAAGCCAATGCTGAAAAAGCCATGTTTTGGTGCTTTCATTAACATTTTAAAATGTTAACAATTCTGTCAGCCCAAACTGAAAATTACTACGAGAAATGAAAGCTTGCATAACTCTGACACTCACTATTCATGGCTCATTATCCTCATGACTTTCAATACACAGTGAGGAAGTGGGGTCAGTCTCACAAAATTTAGGAACAATTAAGAAAATTACTGTATGCAGATGTGACTTATGGGCTGAGAATAACGAACTTTCTAAAAGACCATATTCAACAAAATAAATAAGGATCACGAAAAATCCACAGATGTTTTACAGCTTAAGGCAGCTCTTTAGTTATTCATCATAGAAACTTCTTCCAGGTTTTTGGCTCACTTTCCTTGACCCTTTCCTGAATACTTTGAAACTTTCTCTTTGACTGTATTCCTCAGGGAGGTTAAGAAGTCCCAGGCACATTTCCTGAAATTCTTTGAGTTCAATCTCAAAAACATCCATGGAAATGAAAACACTGTCACTGACCCTTATCCATTGTGAATTGCTGCTGTGCCACAAAGCTCACATTTTTCTTTTTCAAATTTCAAAGTTTGTGGAATAAACATGTGGAAATAGCCAGCCCTGAGGGCAGAGGTTATCTACTAAACCAGCATTCATCGAAAAAACAAAGTGCAAAAAAATCTAGATGGTAGGTAGCTAGGTAACTTAAAAAATAAAATTTCAATTTAAAAATAAAATTTTAAGTTAATTTAAATTAAAAAATAAATTTTTAATTTAATTTAGTTGTCAACCACCAATTTTTCTTCTATAGCAATAAATGACATAGGATGGAACTAAAAAGTTTCTTTTTTTTTGTTGTTAATTTCAGTTCATGTCTAATAAGTAACTGCTATATGCTAAGCATTAAATTGAGCTGAATAATAGTGTCTCTACTTAATAGAATTTATACATGAGCTCAATGTCAGATGCATAGACAATGATGATGGAATGAGCTAAGTACCATCATATAATTTCATGTATGAAGTGCGATAGGATCCTTGTTAAAGCAGGCACAGAATTTTAATATAAATTAAACCTTGGAGAGTCAGGAAAATCAGTTTGATCTTGATAAAATGAATCCCTGAGGTACAGACAGCTCAAGTCAATGACTCTTTCTCCCTATAGTTTCTAAGCAGTTTTAGGGTTGAAACAGAATCATTTTTATTGTGGTCTCCATTTTACATGAGGCAGAAAGACACTAAATAACAACACAGTTTTCACAAGGGGTTATCCTGTCTTCTGTTTATGATTGTCCTTCCAAAATAATGACCACTAGAATTTTTAAATAAAGCCATTGCTTGTCTTTTTTGCTGTGAGGGAGAATGTTTCCTCTCCTAGATAAAATCCTGAACCTCAATTATGTGCTAATTCAAAAACAGATTAAATCTGACTAGTGACTATAAAACAGAACATGCACAGACTTTAATCTTGGGGAAATTCAAATGCAATGTAGGAAAAATGGCAATTTCTAAGGATAGAATATCTAATTTTATCATTCATATGTGAATCCTAATATATGAATCTTGAATTATTTTACTAACAACGTCCTTTAGGGAGGGCATAGGTCATGCTTAGCCTTTAACCTGCCATATATTTTAGCATGCCGACTTGCACATGATAGGTAGTTAATCCATATATGCAAAATTAACTGTAAAATGCTTTAGACCTCCACCTTTCATCAAATATTTTAAAAGGCAAGACACTAAGATATAACCTGTGTTCTCTAATATAGTCAGATGTCAGTGTTCCAGGAGAACCTTAAGTGGGGCTTAGAGTAGCTTTAAGCATTTACTCTAAAACAGCAATAATTCTCTGACTGGCCTTTCTGACAATAGGTGGTCCTTTTCAGAAAAATTTAAGTCTCTAGTAAATATAATTTAATAATATTTTCCGTTTCCTGTGAATCATGAAAATTCTATACAATGGGTTATTCTTTAACTTAAATACACTTTTTCATTTTATATTCTGAGCCAGATTGAATGAGGAACTAGAGCAGAAAGGTAAATTAAAAACTGCACATGCATAACTAGCAACAACAAATGTTGGCAAGGATGTGGAGAAAAAGGAACACTCCTGCACTGCTGGTGGGAGTGTAAACTGGTCCAACCACTATGGAAAGCTGTGTGGAGATTTCTTGACCTACTAAACATAGAGCTTCCACATGATCCAGCAATTCCACTCCTAGGTATTTACCCAAATGACACAGAAACAGTAATTCCAAAGGGTACCTGCACGCCTATGTTCATAGCAGCACTATTTACAATAGCTAAGCTATGGAAACAACCCAAATGCCCAAAAACAGATGACTGGATCAACAAGATGTGGTACATATACACAATGGAATATTACTCAGCAGTCAAAAAAGATAAACACATGCAGTTTGCAGCAACATGGATGGTGCTGGAAGGGATCATGCTCAGCAAAATAAGTCAGAAAGAAAAAGAAAAATACCGATGGTTTCACTCATAGCAGGAATTAAGAAAACCTAAATAAGAGACCAGAAAAAAGACTAATCAATACAAAGTGAAAATCAAAATCAATAAGCAACTATAAACCAGAGATACACTACGGGGTGGGGGGGGTGTAGGAGGGAGAAAGAGGCGGCGAAAGGAAGGACTAGAGTCAAAATAAGGTGGGGTGTGCAATTATATGGGGAATATAACCAAAATGAAAATGCATACATTGTGCAAAGAAGAAAAAAGATGTAAGAATTATATAAAATTAAATATTTAAATATTTAAATAAAATTTAAATATTTAAATAAAAAAACCTGCACATGCATGTGCGTGCGCGCGCGTGCACACACACACACCCCAATTCTCCATGGAACTCTTTTCTGTCTGTCTACATACCTCCCTACCTATCATTTATCACAAGTCCATGGAGAGTAGGATCTACTATTATATACATTTTACATACATGCATATAGGGGATAAGAAATGAATCCTCAGAGAAATTAAATAACTTGACCAGATGATGTAAACAATGAGTGGTAGAACTCAGAGAGTCTGACTCAAGCTTAAGGTCATTATCCACTTTTCTAGATTGCCTTTAGTATCAAGACCTGGAAAAAGAGAGAAAAGTCTACTTCCCACTTGACTAACTTTTTTCTGTGTCAAAATTTGAAGAAATTTTTTTCAAGTCTATTGCTATGGAAAAGAGCAGACAGAGGTAAAAACACTTCTTATGCATGTACGAGTCAAGCATGGCATTAAATACTTTTCATCTATAATTTCATGATACCTTTGTTATTTTTATAATATCAAGCTATTTGACATTATTTCCATTTACTAATTAGAAAATTGAGTCACAAAGTTTTTAAATAACTAGCCAAGAACACTTAGCTCTTAAGGAACTAAGCAAGGGTTTAAAGGCAGGATTCCAGCATGGACAAGTGTAAATGCAGAACACTTCCCTCACCAAAAACAGCCACCGCCCCCGACCCATGTTATTAGAATTTAAAGGTACTTAGGGTCAAGATTTCTTCAAAGGTGATAAATAAGGAAATACTACTTCCTGTCACAGTGCTATGAATGGGGATGTAACTCAGGCCTTGCATCCTACCTTGATAAATATTGTCCTGAAGTGAGGTTTGTAGCTTCCACATCCATGCAGTTCATCGTGCTGGGAATGAGAGCAAGTTCTGGCTGGATCATGGTGGCTGTGGCGACAGCTCTCGCAACCAGTTCCATGGCATCTTGCACATAGTACTCAAAGACAGACTGTGTTGTTTTTCCATGAGCAATGAGCCCTAAGGGCAGGCCTTCTGTCCTCAGTTCCTCGACATTCTGGGAATCTCCTAGCACCCAACGAAGCTCAGGGGGTGTTACCCCAAACTGGGTGGTAATTTCAAAAATCCGCCGGATGCTTTCCATGCTACAGCCAAACATCACCATGGTGGATGTACTGTTCTTAATGCTCTCAAGCTGGACCTGTAGGAAGCTCAAGAGGTCCTCACTGGAGGAGAGGTTGGCGGTGATGTTGATGACAGACCCGAGGTGGAACTTGGAGTTACTCTGGGTGAGGAGGAGAAAGTCTGTGATGTTCCAGTCTTCCTGGCACAGCAACAAGCTAAAATTGTACCAGTTGTTCATGGTCAGGATTGAGACAGTGACATCAGCATCAGAACTTAATGAATTTTCTAAACTCAGTTGTAGGTGAAGGGGATTCTGTATTTAAAGATATGAAAAAGAAGAATTAGAAAGCATTGGCCAAAAATTATAACAGAGTACTTCTGCTTTCTGATGAAGATCAATCCTTTATTTTTTCCCTGTGATATTCAAGTGTCCCTGGGGTAAACTTCCCATAATTTAGAAAACTACATTTCCTGTCAGTGGCACTACTGATTCCTGATTACAACTGATTTCCCCATAATTCTAGTCAACAAGGATATCAATTTCAAGGGGCACAAGCATACATTTGGCTTTAATTTTTTTTTTTTTTTATCAGACGTGTCTTTTTCTTTACAGATAGTTCCCTTTATGGATCCCACTTCTAATATTGCTATACTTAATTTGTTCATTAAACATTCTTCTTAGGAGAAATAATGGAAAGAAATTACTTTTGTCTTCCTTTAAAACTAACAGCAGAATAATCCTCAAGCAGTTCAGGTACTTGTGTAAGGGTGGTGTGGAAAATAGATGCATCATAGTTTCCTAGACTTCTAGCCTCTTGAGAAAGGTACTTCTGATACATGTGATGGTATGGACCTAATGTTTGTATTCTCCCTAAACTCATATGTTGTAATCCTAATTTTCAATGTGATGGCATTAGGGGGTGGGGCCTTTGGGATTGTTTAGGTCATGAGGGTAGAGCCCTAGAAGGAGAGTAATGCCCTTATAAAAGACACCCAAAAGAGTTCTCTTGTCCCTTTGACCAAATGAGGATGCGATGAGAAACCAGCACTCTGTGACAGAAGGGGACTCTCACCCGACCACACTGGCACCTTGATCTTGGACTTTCAGCTTTGAGTCTGTGAGAAACAAATTTGCGTTGTTTACAATCAACCCTATTTGTAGTATATTGTTATAGCAGCCCAAGTGGACTAAGACATCTGGAGTAATTGACTATACACACATACGTACACACCTATATTCCCTGCTTTCCCAAAGTTCAGATTAAGCCAATTCAAAAGACTTAAAATAGTAGACTGAAGGAAATCCAAAGAGGATTTTTCATTTTTACATCAAAAGGCAAAAAGCAAAAATAATGGTCAGCATTGGTTTTTGTAGCAGGCTTTCTAGACACAGCATGTTGTCAGGTCAGTGAGAATGGCCCTGCCAGCCTCCGTCCCCAGGTACTACTTCATGTAGCTTGCCTATTTATCATATCATCCTGCTTTTATTATACGTTAATGTCATTTTAGGTTTTATGTGTTATTTGGTATGATTTGGCAGGTTATTTTTTGGGGTCTGGGAATATTTGAACATTTTTACAAATAAATTAATGATAACTCCTTTGTTCATGCCACTTTGGTGTAGTAAAGATTTCACGGAATACTACTTTTGAATATTGGGGGAAACATGTATGTGTAGATAAAGTATACAGTCCAATAGCAATGATTAGATTGCATTTATTTTATCTACTGAGGCTAGCTTCTTGCTGTGGAATGTGTGCTCCTTAAACAGGTTTATGTAACTTTTATAACAAATTCATCTACTTATGGAAGTTGTTAACTCAATGAAGAAAGAGTATCTTACTTAGAAAGTCACCAAGTATTAATCTTATAGGTTAAGTGGAAATAGTCCTCCAGGGAATACATTTGTTAATTGTTATTTCCAAGAGCAGACATTTGGCATATTTATCCTTTCACATTGACATCTTGCAAATGTTTAGCACAATGCCCTATACATGTTAGGTGCACAATAAATATTGACTGAATTGAACGAAATATGTTCCCACTTGGAGCTATTAGACTACTGGGCTGTATTTGAGAATTTGCCAAACATTCAGGTCAATAATATATAAAGAGAAATGAGGAGGAATTTCTCAGTAAAGATTAAACCATTGTACCAAAAGAAAGAAATATGACTTCCCTTTGCCCATCCAAAAAATATGTAAGAGAAATAAGATTGAAGCTGAAATTTGAATTCTCTGAAGAATTGAAACAATTTTGATATGGGTAGAGTGGGAAGTGAGGATTCCCAAGAGGAAAACGATGACTAATGGTAACAAATGAGAGCAATCACAGTGGGTAGGATCGAATCTTTAATAACTTTGGTCCTTCCATAATAAGCTTTTGAGCAAGGTTTGTAACAATAAAAGCTGAATTTTTGGAGGATAATCTATGGGCAGTATTCAACAGGCACAGGGAGAACAAGGCCTTCTTGATTAGCATAAAGTTCCAGAGAGACCTTTCTGTCTTCTTTTTTAGCTTTCATACTCCCCATCTGCCTTTGTATTTCTTCCTCTGGCTTAACCCTTTTGCAGGATGGAAGGCAACCTCTACATTTAGTTGGCAGGAACAAATTATTCCCAAATGCTTTCTTGGCATCAGTTCCCTGTTCTACTGCCAGTTTTCTTTCTAAAACACAAATATTATCATATCATTTTTCTGCACTACAACCCCCGAATCACCCACAGGACAAATTTTTAAAATCAATAGTACGGCTCAAGTCATTCTCAGTCTTTAATTTCACCTCCAACACTCCAAACACGCACACCAAGACAGGTCAAAGCAGGCACTTTGTTTCTCTTGTAACAGAGCAAGTATTTTCACACCTATACAAATTTCACTAGCTCATTTTTCCACTTGGAAGTATTTGCGTGAATTCAACTTCACCCTTCAAAACTCAGCTCTTCCATGCAGATTTCCAGAAACTAGTTTATGTCGTGTTTGCTATTTTTTCTGGTATTGATGATGATCTTTTTCCCCCCCTCACAATATTTTTGTTCTGATGATTTCCTGCTATGGTGAATTGGACTTTGCTTGACAGCTCCTGATTACTGACCAAGTATGAATAGAATTAATTGCTTCATGTCTATGTTATGGTATCATCTGTTCACCCTTTTTTTTACAGAACTCCTTTCATCATAGTGTAGCTATTTAGTTAAGTGTTTATCTTTCACACTAGACTAGAAGACTTTTTAGGACAAGGAACACATCTCAACCATCTCTTCTAGCAAAGTTAATTAACCAGAGATAATATTTGTCAAGTGGAATTTTCTTTTGTTTACCACAAGTACCAGGCTTTGATCATTATCTAGTCACTTTATAGAAAGACTGAGTAATAAACCATTTCCAGCAGAGCTTCAAGACAGTATTTTGCTTCTATCTGGAACAAAGCCTTATACTTCTTACAGAGGCACTAGCTAAACTTGTATGTAAGGAGTAAGCTCTAGTGAAGGCAGGCATGAAAATAGAAGGGAAGCAAAGTTAGCTAATCATATTGAGCTAAATTTATCTCACTATTCTATTTCCAGCTTTCTTTCTAAAACACAAATGTGATTATATCAGTCTTCTGCACAAACTCCTCTAGACCCTAATAGACAAAAATAAATGCATTTGGTATGAGAGTGTGACATGGGGTAAAACAAAGACCCCCCTCCCTGCATGATGATTAATCCATATAATTAAACTCACCCCTACAAACAATTGTATTAAGAATTTCCAGATGTTGGGCCTCCCCGGTGGTGCAGTGGTTGAGCGCTGGGTTGCGAGGCTGCCCGCAGCCTCTGCAGCACTGGTTCGATCCCCGGCAGCCCGGCGAGGGTCCCACATGGCGTGCAGACCTCTCCTGCCGCCCGCTGCTCCCCTCAGCAGTGTACTTCATCAGTCTGTCTGTTCTGCTCTCCGCCCTGGCTCTGGTGAATTCTCTCACCCTCCCGTGCCTCTGACTGTACCCAGTGCTTGTGTAAATAAATAAATAAATCTTTAAAAAAAAAAAAAAAAAAAAAAGAATTTCCAGATGTTGAAGTTAATTCTCTCGCAGACTTAAGGGACATAATTTTTCAAACAATGTTTATTAAATAATAGTTTAGAAATATCTTGTGATATAGTACTTATCTAATGGTTAGGTGCAGCATCTTCTAATTTCTTTCAAATGAATGACAAAGCCATACGCACACACATATGAAAACTTACAACACAACATTTGAACCTTATAAAACATCATCAAAATCTGGGATGAAAAGTAAATCAGACCTATTGAACTGCTGGAACTGAATTCATCAAACTGAATTGACAATAAAAACCTATGTCTTCCTTATAAGTATGCTTTCACAAAAGAAGAAACCTATAACCCACAAAAGGTATAAATTTTAGAAAATAATTTCCACATTGTTTACTTCCTAAATCAGATATATAAAAGAGAACAACTGAAGAATAAGGAAGCTTGTCTCTACCATGCAGATAAAGTGAAAGTGCCTCATAAGTGCATTTAACTTATATAAATGAAACAGACTCAGAAGGAGGAAAGAGAGAAAATATGAATTAAATAGTACTGATAATTCTCGTAAATGAGTTCCATGTTATACATGACATATATAGTATTATGTATTGCTATAATTATTATACATACTTGCATACACAAAAGCATATATATCAAGCTAAATAGGTAATTTAAGGGATTTTCAGATACAATTTCGCTACACCCTAAATTGAACCTTTATTTCTATTTGAGAGAACACACTACCCCACTTATTTTTAAGGTTTTCTTCCCATCACAATCTGAGAGTACATTATTTTGGAGCATAGGACAAGAAGTATTGATGGGGTGAGGCTGTGCTGGAATGTACTCAGGGGCTGAAATTTCAAGTCAAGGGCAGAGCTGGATGGGAAGAGGAGTTGTCAACATGGCAATGCAGTTGCCAGGGTGGGAGAAGCACAGAATTGTCAGAAGATCATTCAGTGGTGGAAGGCAAGACTGCTTCAGCTGCTATCACAGTAGATTTACAACTAGTAAAATACTGACATTTGACACACAGACAAATCAGGCAAAAATGGTAAGAAAATTTGGAAAAAGAAAAATATAGCTGGAACTTGCCTTAAAAGATGTTAGGCCACGTCAGAAGTTGCAATTTTTATACAACAATAATGATTCAAAACAAGAAAGAACTAACAAAACATTAACAGGTAAATAGAAAAATAGATTTTAATATATGTGAAGACGTACATTGATCAAATATATGATACAAATATAAATTACATATTGTATATGCATGAAAAACA